TGGTGAGGGCAATCCAAGGTGAAGCAGTGGGATTTTTTTATGAGCTGGAGAGTTTGGAAGGAGAAGAGGATGGGGAGAAGATTCACCAGACATGGTTCAACAACTCCTACAGCAGTATCGAGAGGTGTTCCAGCCAGTTCAGGTCTTGCCTCCTCCGCATGAACACGAGCATGCAATCATCTTGAAGGTGCCTCATCTATTAGTGCTCGTTCATACTGTTATCCCCAAATCAAGCATAATGAGATCGAGAGATTAATTGAAGAGATGCTAGAGGCAGGATTATTTGTTGACCATTTTCTAGCTCAATGCTATTAGTGAAAATGAAAGATGGCAGAGGTTTTGCGTGGACTACTGGGCGTTGAACAAGGAGACTGTGCTAGACTAGTTTCCTATTCCAATCATTGATGAGTTATTGGATTAGCTTTATAGAGTGATGCTTTTCTCGAAGATTGATCTGAAGTCAGGGTATCATCAGATCCGAATGAGGTTCGAGGATGTTCCCAAGACAACATTTATGACTCATGAGGGACACTATGAGTTTTTATTTATGCCTTTTGGCCTCACTAATGCTCTCCCTGATGAATAGGATATTCTATCCATATCTGCGGAGGTTTGTTTTAGGTCTTATTTGATGATATTTTGATTTACAACAAGACTGGGGAGGAGCACTTAGAACACTTAGGATTGGTGTTATCCAATCTGTGCAGGACCACCACTTGTTTGGCAATTTGAAGAAGTGCTCATTCGCACAACCTAGAGTGGAGTATTTGGGGCACTTGATATAAAAGGAAGAGTAGCAGTTGACCAAAGCAAAAAAGAGGCCATGCTCAGGCGGCCTATACCCAAGAGCTTTAGGGAGTTGAGAGAGTTCTTGGGGCTTACAGGCTACTACAAAAAGTTCTTGAAGGGATACAGTTCAATAGCCTGGCCTTTGACTAAACAACTAAAGAATGATAATTTCAATTGGGGTGAAACTGCTACCAAGGCCTTTGAGGAGTTCAAGAAGGTGATGAGTAGCATGCCAGTGTTAGCCCAGCCCGACTTCAACCAACTTTATGCGGTGGAGACGGATGCTTTGAGGTATGGACTAGGAAATGTACTTATGCAGGACCACAGACCAATGGCTTATTTCAGTCAAGTGTTGACGGTCAAGCGAGGCTCACGTCAATCTATGACAGAGAGTTGATGGCGATTGTGTTGGCCATCCAGAAGTGGCGACCCTAATTATTGAAGCGACACTTTATTGTAATAACTGATCAAAGAAGGTTAAAGTTTATTCAAAAAAAAAAAAAGCTTAAAGTTTATTCTAGAGCAAAGGATGGTTACAAAGGAACATCATAGGTGGCTTTCCAAACTGCTGGGTTATGATTTCGAGATCCAGTATCAATCAAGGACATATAACAATGCTGCAGATGGGTTATCCAATTGTATGTGGGAGCCCCACATGATGGCATTGTTTGTTCCCTTAGTTTTGGATTGAGAGCCATTGAGAAGGTAAAGTCGGCAAGATGAAGGATTAGAGAAAATCAGGAGAGATGTATTGGGGAATAAGGTTAGCCATCCAGGCTATACCTTAGTTGATCAGAGACTATTATATCATGGGTGAATGGTGATACTAAGCACCACCATATGTATCATGCTTATTGCGGGAGTTTCACGATAAAGCCATAGGAGGGCACTCAGGGGTACAAAAGACCTATCGTGGGCTGGAAGCAAAATTGTATTGGGTTGGAATGCAGAAAGAAGCGAAGGAGATGGTGGCAAGCTGTGATATCTGTCAGAGGCATAATTATAAGTCAATGGCTCTAGGAAAACTTCTGCAACCTCTAACTCTGCCTGAGAAGGTGTGGGAAGAAATAACTATGGATTTCATTGAAAGTCTGTCAAAATCAGAGAGGTTTTCGGTGATTTTGGTAATAGTGGATAAGCTAAACAAATATGTTCAATTCATTTGCCTACGACACCCATACACGGTGGTTTTAGTGGTAGCAACATTTATTCGAGAGGTGGTCCACCTACATGGAATTCCAGAGTTCATAGTTTCATATAGAGATAAGGTGTTCCTAAGCCACTTCTGGAGAGAACTATTCATGATGCAGGGGACCGTTCTGAAGAGAAGTACAACATACCATCCGCAGACTGATAAGCAGACCGAGGAGGTGAATAGGAGTGTGGAGAATTATTTAAAATGCTTTGTATCATAAACACCCAAGACCTATATGAAGTAGTTACCTTGGGCCGAGAAGTGATACAATACATTATACCATAGTGCCGCATAGACTACATCTTTCAAAATCCTTTATGGCAAACCCTCCTCACTTGATATACTATGAGACCAAAAGCACTCTAGTTTCATTCGTGGACAAAAGTTGGAAGAAAGAGTTAGGATATTGGGAGAGCTAAAGGGAGACCTACTGATAGCAAAATAAATTATGAAGAAGCAGACTTACGCGGATAGAAGGGATGTGCAATTCGAGGTGGGTGATAAGTGTATATGAAGATTCGACACTACAGACAAAAAATCTTAGTTTGAAGAAGAAATGAAAAGTTATCTCCACAATATTATGAGTTATATGAGGTTATGGAGAGGATTAGTGTCGTGGTATATCGTTTGCAACTACCTCCTCCTTCCACCATACACCCAGTATTCGATGTGTCTCGGTTGAGGAATGTTAATAGCGACCACAGTCCATCACCGACGCTTTTGATGACCTTGACAAAAGAAATAGAGGTGATCCTAGAATAAATTGAGGTGCTCGAAGTTCGCGCGACAACCGGAAGTGCTGATCAAGTAGAAGGATATGCCCAACAATGAAGCAACATGGGAACCACACCAGATGATTTAGCAACATTTTTTCTTCGTTCCACCTTAAGGATAAGGTGGCTCTTTGGGAGGGGAGTATTCATAGACCGGTTGAACCAGTCCAACCAATCAACCTGGCCCCAGCAAGGGTGGTCGGTCTAGCTGGCGGGTAGAAGAGACTTGTGAGCCCAACTAGTGTGGGTGATGAGAAAGAAAAGAGGGGGGCTCAAAGGAGATTAATAATACTTTAATTACTTACCATAGAAAATCAAAATTGAGAGAAAATTAGGAAGATTTATTTAGGAAAAGAGAACTGATTTAAATTAAAATTTGGGTGGAAAATTGAAAGGTTTATTTAAGGAAATATGGCTAATTTGAATTCAGATTTGGGAGGAATTAAGAAGGTTTATTTAAGATTAATTAGGTTATTTTTTATTTTCGTTATGTGATTTTGTGTTTTGCAGTAATTTTCTTTGGAGTTATTCCTAGCGGCGACTAGGGTTTGTGGAGAGCAATCTAGCTCTCAAATATTAGATTAGCTTGAATCATGATTTGTTTTGCCGATATCAATAAAATTAGCCCATAATCTCATTCTTTTTGGCTGATTTCTGTTATGTTTTCTTTTCGTTATTGATGTTTTTTAGCTGTGTGGAGATTGAATTTCTATTAAGTTTCTCCTGGTAATGTCGACATCTAGGCTTTAACTTATCTTCTTCTTGAAGGATCTAGAGTAAAAAATGTTCATTTGATCTTCTTGTAGTCATTTTTCATCAACACCATGCACTAGTGCTCTTTTTGAACATAGAACTCTAATACCAAAAATCCTAATTTGTAGCAACCAACAAGTCATCATAATAGGATATGCCCAACACAAGAGGTGAAAACGTGTATAAAAAAAAAAAAAGGATATGCCCAACACATCAAGCAGATGGTTATAGATTAGAGGTTGTTAATTTGAATTATTATTTTTTAAGTAATAAAAAATCAAGTTAATTAACATGCAGAACTAGGCAAACTAGGTGGAAGATGATGCTTCCTTGAATCACCTCTCTTTAACTCATACTCAACAAGCCTCCCAGAAGAATAGAAACGCTCTCCTTCCAGGCCCAAACTCTCTAGAACCCCAGGATTCAAAACAATAATCAAAGAAAAAACTCTCCCTAATTCCCCTAATTCAATCCCCTCATAAAATCAGGGTAAGCTAGATAAAATATTAAAAAAGAAAAAGAAAAAAAACACATAAATTATAGGAAATCATAACTTAAAATGCTGAAGTTACAAAGATATGGCATGGATAGTCGAGCTGACTTTTTGGACTATTAGAGTCATGTTGGCATCATAATTGCTCGACTCGTAACCTTTACTTCTACCATTAACATTCCGGTCTTCCCACAGTTCCTCTTAGCAGCATAATAATCCACTTAGAAGTCTCATTCTCAGCTTCCTTGTCTTCATGACTTATTCTACATGCCTTTTCAAATCATTGATCTCCTAATCAAAATCCTATCTAATGAAAGGCCCTCACATGCACAAAGTAAATTAAAAATTCATCACTTGACCTTATCATGAATGATTTTGGATCAAATCATCTACAAAGCCTAGAGCAAGAATGTGATCCTAGAAAGGCACTCAGCCTATGGATATGTACCCATTCAACTTATTGGAAGTAAGAATCATCTTTCAGTCGATTAATCATAGAATTCTATAGATAAAAAAGATATAAGTTCTATGGAAATTAAACATGCACGCTTCAAATGGAAATGATATATTTCTTAATTATGGAAACCCTAAGTACAAATCCAAGAAGATTTAATATCTAATGAATTGCAATCATCCAAACGAGAAATATAACTCACGTTTGCTGCATAAGTCATAGCAGCACCAAAAATCATTCCCCATGCCTTTGTGCAAAAATTAAAAGTTAGAAAAATCATATCAACAGGAAATGGGACAATGGAAAAAAACACTAATGGCACATCCAATGCACAAGACGCTCCCACTATGGAGCTTGGGGAAGGTTTGATGAGCATAGTCTTGCCCAGCTTTAAGAGAGGTGGTTTCCGTATTCAAAATGTGACAGACAAGCCATAATGTGGCAATCTAAACATTGCTCTCCGGCCATCTTCAGGTAGAAAAATATATGTATATATATAAATAAAAGCAAAAATATCTGAAGAAGAAAGTAAGGGCAGCTAACCTATTCACATCAGGCTTGTCCAGAACCTTCAGCAGACTCTGATCTACACTTGATATGGACAATTGGACCCAATTGTGAACGATCTAAACCTTCTATGTCCCCATTTGGAGCATTCATGTATACTGCCTCCCTATACATCCACTCTTCAGTCTCATCGCTATAAAAATCCTCAAAAGGTTCCCCACATAATGCACAGACTGTCTGATTCTCATCTGCAGGAACAGCCATTTCCGTGTCTTCTTTTTTCTCTGGAACTACCTCTGTGGGCAAAAAACCAGGAACCGCATCAGCTCCAAGCGTTTCTGCACCACAAAGCCATTCCTTAGCACTAACAAACCATTTGCGTGATGGCTTCTGCTTACGATTCTTGGATATTCGGTTTTTAGTTACATGCCAATCCATATGGTTACTATGATCCTCTTGGCATGTAAAACGTAAGCCACATGTAGTACATTGCCTTGGAAGATCAGTATACATAGCATTTATTGCAGATTCATGACGTATCTTAAGAAGTTCAGCATTAAACTCAAGGCCCATAGTATTCTGAAACATACACTAACAAGCTGAGAATTAAAAATACACTTTTTTTCAAACTAAAGAAAATAAATCACAAACTGACATACCTGAGACTGAGCTTGAGGTGTCAGCGAAATCAAACCTTGGGCCATAAGCGAACTGATCAATCCTGAAAATCCGCTTACTGAAGATTGTGATGCTGCTGAACTGTTCTGGGATGCAGGTAGTGACTGTGATGACAATGGCGGTGGTCCTGGCGGCAAAGGAGGCATCCCTGCACGTCCATGTAAGGAGATATTCTTTACTGAAGAAATAGGCATTCCAGGGATGGGATTTGGCAAAATAGAATCCAAAACACCACTTTGACCATGAGATTGTACACCACTTAGGGGTTGATTTAGTACTGGTGGAATAAAGCTTCCACGATTCTCCTGCAAAAGAACTTGCATGAGTGAACTAGGTTTCCAACCATGTAAATTCAATTGAATTTCTACAGAAAGCTGAAAATGTACCTGGAATGCCTGCCCTAGTAGTTGTCTTCCATTTGCATCAAATTGCTGCTGTGGAAATGGAACAGAGAAATTGGGTTGCTGATTGCCTATTGGCTTGTTATTATCCGTCTGTAGGTTAGCAATGGGAAGTAACTGTAAAGACTGAGATATATGAGCTGGGGGCCATGGCACCGGAGCAATAGGAGGATGGTGTGCTTTTTGTGCAGCTGAAGTAGACATCTCGTGATTTGTAGTGTCAGATGAAGCACTAGATAAATTCAAAAATGGCATTTCAGCATTGTGAGAGTTATCATAGAAACTATGCCGTTTGTGATTTACAGAAGGTGTTACTCCACCAACCAAGTAAGGCAACTGAAATGGCCTTCCCTGAGACTTTGGGCTAATATTATCCGGTGTGGGGCGGTGGAATACATGAGGCAAACTCCCATGCTCCTGAACATGTTGAGAACTCTCATGATGTCGAAATTGTTGGATGGTGCTTCCTGTATCATCGAGATACATCTTATTCATCGGTCCAAGACCATACTGCAAAAAAAATCATTAATAAAAGAAATTACTGAAGAATTAGCTCAATGACGTACTTCCTCCAAAAATGAATTATTACTGCGGCAATATTTAAAAGATTGAAAATACAGCTAAGAAAAATCTACACGATTATTATACGTAATTATAAAAAAATTTGGTGCAAGCTTATGACAAGATCTATAAAGCATGTCGCAGAATATAACTCAGACAAGAAGAAATAGAAAGAAAAATTATGTAGCTCAATAATCAGGTAAGCAGTAGAATACTGAACTACAGACATCCATACCATGGTACAAAACAAAAAATAAAATGCAACCCATTACCTACAAAATGATTTTCATATATCAACTATATTAAAACCAAGACCTCACTTTACAAACAAATAGTATTTACTGCAAAATTATAAAGGAAAATGTTTGCAAGTAAGACGAGCCATACATGTCGAATACCAATTCTGTCATCAATTGTAGTTGTTGAGTCTTTGAGAGGTGGAACAGGCCAACTGCGCCTTCTAAAATCAGATTTCTGTGCTATGATACCTGATCTACTAGAATTATCTCTTAATCCTAAGCTATCAGTGCTCTGTTCGGATTGCATCCTGCTCCTTTTGCTTGGATCAACATGAGTCGGGCTCATATCCTCCCACACATATTCCTCTTCCTCAGAATTCTGCCAATCCATTTTTCCTGCTTTACCCTTTATGCCATTTACATCGACACGCTGAATCTTTGGAAGACTCTCATGAAGGAAGTCTTTACCTCTATAATTTCCATAGGCATCAATGAGCTCTCTTTGGCGCTGCCTTCCATATTTATTGTATGTCGTCAGAGCAACAGATTGCTGAGCACCATCATCTATTGCCAAGTTTCTTCCAACCCAACCATTACTCTCACTTGCTCTGTGAGATTGAAAGTCAAGTCCAGAATGAGATCGTGAAGTTGCTTCAATCACCCGTCCAGGAGAACTCATTTGGAACCTATGGCCTTGTGGAGATGTGGACCTCCTAAGTCCAATCCTTGTAGGAGATACCCGTGATGCCACCTTTCTCTGTGAACTTAAGAATGGCCCTTCCTGTCCCTCCATTGATGATCCATGTAGTGTTAGAGTCAGTGGAGAACCTTCTCTTACCATTTTTAGGCTTGAAGGTTGAAAACCAAAGTGATCCAAATCATGATCATTATATTTAGTAAATGATCTATGTCCAGAAACTTGTATTCCAGAAGAAACTTCCCTTGAATGCCGAATATCCTACAGGAAGGAAAAAAATCAATTCTGGGAGGGGAGCATTTAAAATGCATTCAGCCTCGGGAAAGAATAAAACATACTAGCACAAACAATAGCAGCATGTGAAAAAAGCTCAAAGAATTGCCTGCTAAAGTAGTAAGAATTTAGAAAAAGAACATTTGCATCAAGAATTCTACCAAGTATAGATAAGCACAAGAGAACAAGACAACATAGTAATTGCTTCAAAATATTTTAAAGATGCATACAGTACACTAATTCCCAAAACATCAACTAACGTTACATAGAAAGTCAGAAGAAAAGTAAAATGTGTGATTCCTATTCTTCAAAATTTCCAGATTTAAGATAGAGGAGCAAGACTTCTCATTTACATATACTGGATAGATGCTGCTAATAGACAGCAAATATCAGAAGAGTACTTCACCTTCTCATCTACTTTAATTAGCTTCAGTCTGTGTTTTAGAATCAAACCAACAATTTTTAAAGATTAAAAGAATATCAACTAGTGCTTAAGCAAAGATTTTACGAGAATGCTTAACCTTGGCAAAAACATTGAACAACAATACCATTGGCTTCCATCTGCAGGGTATAAGGGCGTACATACCCTTACAAGTCCATGCCGAGAAAAAAAAAAAAGAGAAAGATTAAAACAAGAAATTGATGCTCACTGCTTCAGGGTTTTCAAACTGGCGTCGTGCCTCCAAGTATTTTGGATTAACATGAATTCCATGAGATGGTTGAGAAGTTTCTGAAGTTCGCATACTCGCCAAGCCAATTAGCCTCTGGTTTTCAGGTGTAGAAAACTTTAATTCATCCTCAATTTTGCGTAGTGTTGAATGGGGGAATACTTGTGACCAAGTCTGAAAGAGGTGGCGCATGGCAGGATGAAGGCTGGAATGGACATCATTATATGCCTGGCAAAACGTCTTGTGATAGCCGCATGCAAAAGGATAGCACTAAATAAGTACAATTTGTGTGGAAAACATTAATCAAACAATTACTCAAAGAAAAACTGCACTTTCTGAAAGCAGTGCGATAAAGAGAAACAAATAGGATCAAGCAGAATGCAATGTTACAAGAAAACGTAGCTTAGCATAATTTCGAAACTATTCGGAATAAGCTTAAAGTTGCAAAGTTCAAACCGCAGAAGACAGGCCTAAATCAGATATATAAATTAGTTCACATTATTACATTCTTTTGCAGCTAGGTCCTAACTCCTAAGCACCGTAACAAACCTGAATGATACTCTGCCGAAACTGTTAGAATATTAGAAAACGCAATACAAATCAGGCCAGTTCAATTGCAAGCAACGAATGGAATGAAATGCGCCTGATCAAGCCAGCCCATTCAGGAATCATATATTCGGCCCAGATCAAACAATACATTCTCATATTCAGTTTAACAATAGATGTCTTGTCTTAATAATAAAAAATGAGGCCAGGCTTCAATGTTGAAGACAAAACGTTTGGTGTGTGTGTATATATATATATATATATAAATAATGCTTCATTAATCTCTGTTTTTTATAAAATTTAAATGAGATTTTGATTCTTATTAAAACACAATGGAGAAAAAGAAACACTTTGAGATTTTGATTCAAAGTGGGATGAAGGCTTGTTGTTATTGTTGCTGCCCCTTGATGATTTACCTTTCACAGCCAATGAAATTTAGTTACAGTGATCCAGCTACAAGGCCACTACACAGTTAAACCAAACTGAAAGAAATACTACACGATACAAGTGTAGTGTTGAAATCTCGTCATGCTTCAGAAATATTGGCCAAGTTATTTCCAAACTAGGTTGTTCTCATAGCGAAAAGCAAGTGAAACAAGCTTACAAGCAAACGCGATTATCCAAAGCTGAGCAGTATACATTTAACAAGATTACTTATTTGGCCAACTAAATAGCATATTTTTAAACGATTTGAGAGAAACCATCTTAATCATGGGCAGCACATGCGTGTGGTGAAGGGATCAGTAGCTTTGCAAGCCAATGTCACACAAAACTATCAGCTTACGAATGGTAACAAGGAGGTATTATTAATGGTGAGAATAGGAAACACGAGGGAAAGAAAAAGCACATTATCAGAATGTTCCCATTCCTGCTCAGCCATAACAAAGTTGATGGTCTCAAAAACATCCAAAAATAAAATTCTCTTTACTAAGGAAGGCCAACAAAGCTAAAACACCCATCATTTGAATGCAACTTGCTTCCTTTCTTTCTTCACAATTTCCCTCTCTCCAAAACAACACTTATTATCATCACGAATAAGCCAACTTATTCTCTTCTCAAGAAGCAAAACAATGCATGACATCAGTGCCAGTCATAAAAGTAGCAAGACACAACACCCCCAAGTAGGCCTTGTACTAGGTTGCCAATTCTTATTGATTTTAAATTGGTAAGAAAACGGTTTTTAGTATAGCTGGCTTCAAAAGAAACCATCAAGTGATGCTAAAAATGGAAAGCAGAAATTGGAATGGGATAGGGGATCCTATGAGAATGCAAGCTCAGAACCAAGAACTGGCTACTTGACTTACCTCTATTCATTTTCCAATAACCAAGCCCAAACAGCCAGACAAGTCAAATCCTGGTTCATGGCTTCATGCCCTAATGCTATTGTTTGAGTTCAGAAGGCTTGCAAAGCTTTCAGCTTCGTTTGATAATATTGTGTCATTGATGTGTGTGTTGAGTAGTTAGAAGCTATGATGCATAGACACGGACAAGGCGACACGGATACAACACGACACAGACACGTCAATTATTGAAAATATAGGACACGGACATGAGTTGGATACAGTATTATAATTTTGGCCAAATTTTATAAAGAAGCGTGATAATAATCAAAATTAGTAAAAGAAGCATGAATTAATAAAAATTTAAATATGAGCAAATACGCTATTTAATATAGCGTATTCTGAAATACGCTAATTAATTTAGCGTAATAAGAAAACACCATTTAATTAGGCGTATTAAGTCAGCCCAGAAATAGGGGGGATAAAGAGAGAGAAACAGGTGAGAGAGAGGTGACATTTGACAGCGGAGAGAGAGAGGGAGAGAGAGAGAGAGTTGGCAGCGAAGGGAGTGGAGTGGAGAGATCACCATGTGCAGAGAGAGTGTTAAACAATTTTTAAATATTTAAATTAATATTTTAAATTATAATAAATTATTTAAATTAGTATTTTAATGGATTTTAAGATATTTAATCATTATTTTAACTTATTTTTAAATATTTTTTATAAATATATAATAGTATTAGGTTTTAAAATAAATATAATATAAATTAAATAACGAATTAAATTTTTTAATAAATTATTATATTTAACTAAAACAGTAGTAGAACTTATAAAAATAACCAAAATATTCATTTACATCCTCTTTCTCCCGTCCTCTCTCACTTTCTCTCTCTTGGCATCAATCTCTCTCACCCTCCACTGTCATGTCAACTGTGATATGACTGCTACCTGTCTTTCTCTCAGCTGTTTCTCTCTCCATCCTCTATTTTTCTAGGCCTTACTAAATACGCCAAATAAAATAGCGTTCTCTTATTACACCAAATTAATTAGCGCATTTCCAAATACGCTATATAATATAGCGTATTTGCTTATATTTGAATTTTTATTAATTCACGCTTCTTTTACTAATTTTGATTATTATCACGCTTCTTTCTAAAATTTGGCCTATAATTTTTATATTTTAAAATAGTGTATAAAATTAAATAAGTATAATATTAAAAGTAATTTAGAAATAATAAGTCATTTAACTAGAACTTATGTTTAAAATGATTAATATTAGTATGTCGAGAGTCGGGCGTCATTTAACTAGAACTTGTGTTTAAAATGATTAATATTAGTATGTCGAGCGTCGGGCATCGATGTTATACAGCAAGTATTGGGTGTCAATGTCACGAAGGTGTCTATCGTCGATGTTAAGATGACGTCAATGTTAAAATGAAGTCGGACAGAGATGAGTTGTCAAGTTGTGAGTATAGAAATTGTTAACATCAATGTTAATACAATGTTAGACTTTGATGTGGAGATGGTTTTAAAATATTGATGTTGTAACGACGTCAGACGTCGATGATGAGATGACATCGGGCGTCCTTGTGAAACCAAAGTCACGACTGCCAAAGAGAAATTAGAATGATAATATTTGATGAATGGGATGTTGAGTGTGAACGATTGATTTGTTATTGTTGATAAAAAATAAGAAATTTAATTTTTATATTTAAAATAAATAAAATTTTAAATATAAGAAATTAAATTTTTAAAAAATCATAAAATATTTAAGACACGTGTGTCCAATTTGTATTTAATAGTTTTTTAATCGGATACATTTTAGGTGTGTCTGACACGTGTCGTAGGTGTGTCGGATGTGTGTCGTGTCGGATACATGTCAGACACTACACGCCTCTTTGACAATAAGTGTTAGTGCATCATAAGTAAGAAGTCACTACTAATCTCACCAAGATAGACAATCTACTTTATGAGTTTGTTCATTCAATTGTGAACTATGATGCACCGATACTTCTCAAAGAGACATGCAGTGTCTGACGCGTATCGTGTCGGACACGCCATAGGAGTGTCGAATGCGCCGAAAACATGTTTGATTAAAAAAATATTAAATACAAATTGAACATACATGGCCGACACGCGTATCTTAAATATTTTATGAATTTTTTAAATATAATTTCTAGTATTTAAATTTTTTGCTTATTTAAAATATAAAAATTAAATTTCTTATTTCCTATCCACAGCATCATATCAATCGCCCGCACTTAATATCACATTCATCGAGCATTCTCTTTTTTTATTTCTCTTTGGAGGGTTACAACTTTAATTTTACAACAATGTCCGATGTCATCTTAACATCAGCGTCTGACGTCGTTGCAGCATCAATATTTCAAAACGATCTCCATATCAACGTTTGACAGTGTATTTACATTGATGCTCGATGCTAGCCATATCTACACCCACAACTTGGCATAGCATCTTTGTCCAGCGCCTTCTCAACATCGACGACCAACGTCATCTCAACATCGACGATAAACACCATCTTAACATTGATGCCAAATATTTATTGTATAGCATCAATGCTCGACTCTTGACATTATTATCATGTCCTCTCTCGATGACTAAAAAACGGCATCAACGCCCGACTCTCGACATCATAATACTAATCATTTTAAGCGTAAATTCTAGTTAAATGACTTATTATTTCTAAAATTAATTTTAAAATTATACTTATTTAATTTTATACGCTATTTTTAAAATATAAAAATTATAAAACTGTGTCCAACCCGTGCACGTGTCCTATATTTTCAAGACGTGTTCTATGTCCGTGACATGTTGTACAGTGTCGGCATGTTTGTGTTTGTAATCATAGATTGTGAAGCATTGGAGGTGGCTCATTGCAATCTATTTCCACACAAATCAAACTTATGATATGCTATTTTTTTTTATTATTAAAAAATCCAGATGGGTAAAAAGCTTCACGAAGCATGGTCCTTTGTTGAACATGTTGTAGCAGCTCATAAGTTGGTTTTGGAAATTAAGATTTCTTAAAAAGGGTCTGAATTTCGATCTCAGTTAGAGCTGACACTTTTCAAGCGGGCCCTTTAATTTTGCATCCAAAGGTAGTTAATTGTGCATTGTTTCAATGCAGACTACTGCCAAATGATAATGAGGCCTTGAAGGCTCAAAGATAGAATTCTATGATCCAATCAAATAGTTTAGTGCGCATGCAAAACTATTCTCATGGAGTGGAAATCGTACTAAACCATAGAAAGTTGAAATGAAAAAAATATATCACACAAACTTACCTGAAAATACTAAGAGAGACATTCTCATGAGAAAAACATAAAAGGCGCATTGCCCAATTCAACCCTCACTGATTCTCCATTACAAGGTGATGCTGTTGAAGACAATTTTTTCTCATCAAATTATGCAAAAGCTAAGCTATTTATATTTTGGTTCATTCTAATGCAACCAGACTCCCCTCTCTTGTCATCATTCTCATGTCTTTAAGCCAATAATCACAATCCAAATTATTCTCTTCTCAAGATGCAGAAGAATTCATAGCATTCATGCAAGTTGCATAAGTAGTATGAAATAACACCTCAACGTAGGCACTGCCTAGCTTGCTAAGTCTTGCAGGTTTTAACTTCATACAGAAAAGATTGACAAAGGATTATTTTGTGTACTGATTACATCAAAATTGGTACTCAAGTCTAATGAAGATTGAAATAATGAAATATGAGACATTTAAGCGCCACCAAGGAAGGTATCACTGATGAGGCTGAAGATGGAAAAAGAAGAATTGGCAAGGGATCATATCAAAATGCAAGCTCAGAATCAAAGAGATCTGGCAGCTAGAATTACATCTATTCTCCTTCCTAAATCTAAGCTTCAAGCCAATTTAAGTAGGCTCATTGCTAAAGCTATGGTCTAAGTCAAGCAGGTTTAAAGAAATTTAGTTGAGGTAAGTTGGGATTGGAAATAAAAGGTCTTTATGTAGGACGCATATTTTGTTGTTGCTTGGTTTCAACACATTTCTACCCAGAGCATTTCTACCCATAATTTTGATTTGGGCATCCAGCATTATCAAAAAATTATTGTGATGCATGCTTATGTCAAAATATTAAACAAGGTCCAAGTGAAATCATTTTCATATCAAAGATTTTCAAATGAATAGGAGTGACAGTGGCAAACTTTTTGAAAGTTCACATTATTCTTCACCAAAGTTCCATCATTAGTCTTGGTAAACTATGAGTTCCACGGGAGAAGAATTTTGCATCCATCCTTTCACTATTTTGATCCAAGAGAGTTACCCAATCCATGTGAATTGAAATAAATTTAGATGAATCATTAGTGTGGATACTGGAGTAAGCATTGATGCTCCTTGTATAGGGCTATTGTGATCACTCTATTTGTGCTTCCACAATAGTATTGATGCTTCCTCGATGAGAAAGGAATTATGAACCGTAAGAAAGATTTGATATTGATAAATATTGATAAATCCTTGCACGATATAAGAAGATTATGATTTGAACATGATTTGGTATCATTGTTTGTTGTATTAATTTAGTTGTTTTAGATGTAGCTAAAGAATATTCAATCTATCGCATCACAGTGAACATGGAGAAGCAAATGGAGAGAGTTGTAGGGATGGGTAGAAGGATCATGGCCGAATATTGCAAGAAGAGGGAAAATGCCGGGTTTCATCAAAACTCAGTCAAACATCATTCATGTGAAACTCTAATAGGAGACCAGAGTCCATTATATACATTAGGGTTGGCAAAACCTACATTAAATTTGAAACGACTAGTAAAGAAATAATATGTACTTATTAAATCGCATAAAAAATTGAACAAATATTCATATTAAATAGGCAAATGCTTCAAACATAATAATGAGGGTATTTACAACCATGCTTTGCCCTGCATAAATTTGCTTGTTCCAAAAGAAACTCTTATCCGAAGATTTGGAAAGAGCCTCATGTTGGTGGTGATGGAATTAGTTCGTGCATGGTTCTGTAATCAACAAGTAACATCCTAAGGGCGAGAAAGTCATTTGGAGATTTTGATGGAGGTGATGGAAAAATATCCATCCCTAAAATGAAAGCAAACGTCTTCACCCATGTCATAATATAAGGTAAAACAAACACAATGTAGGACTGAGTAGGGAGAAAAACAGAGAACTAAGACAAGAACAATCAGTTGAGAAGATCCCATAAACTAGAATGAAAGATATAATCTTAAGACAGCGCATTGGTGGTGGAAACACAAACTCTTTATCAATGAATGACATGGAAGATGAAACTTTTGATCAGACAAGTAGCTTAAATAGAAGTAATCAAAGTGTTAAGGGCATGATTACATATTTATCACCTAATCACAGCTACTATTAAATAACAATTATAGCATATTAATTATATCAATAACTAACAAATCTTACTGCTTCAAATTAATCGTTGATTTCACTTTTTATTCATTTCTTCTTCCTTCAACGGCAGGGTTATGGGAGTATTAGACATATCTACATTAGCCAAGACATCTAGGCACGTTATTTCAATATTTGTTCCCAAACTAACAATTTAAAAGGCCAAGCTTATTACTTGCTATGGCCCTCCATTCACCAATAACTAACTCATTCTATAAATTTTTTAACCCTAAACCACCACTAGTAAAAGAAACCAAAAATACAGAAATTTATCTATGTTGCGTTCTAATGACTGAAAAGTCATGGACAATCTACTAATTCTTCCCCAATACTCATCTAAAAGGAAAGGGTTACCTAACTCATGAAGCTGCCGTCAACGCCGCATCCATAGAGAGATCTATGTACAAATTTTACCCCTACATTGGGGAGATGCTATTTTCGTAACTTAGACCCTTGACCTCTACCAATTTGAGATCTCTTGCCATAAATAGATGCATATATATTTAACACAAAAGAAATTGAGACCATGTACATATGTTCATTGATTGATGAAACAAAGATAATGTGCTATATATATATATATATATATATATATTTGTGGTTCTCAAATGTTGGCTGAAACACGCTTGTTATGCCACTACCGGAGTAGAAGTGCATTTCTGCAAAAACAACCCTTAAGACCATAGCCATATAAGGAAGATTTCTTAATACATCAGTCCGCTCAATCTACAAGATCTCACTCAATCATTTTTCTTAACTTCTCATCTTTCACCATCTAGCTTCCTCCTCTCTCAAATTCTAATACAATCTCTCCCACACATAAGCTCTCAACTGCAACCTTATCAATTGGCCAATGAATCCAGCCAACTCCTAGGCAACTAAAATAATGGTAAAAAGTGATGGATGAAAAGTCCAACGATGACCTCTTATAAGAGCTTAAACGGTATAAAAATTTAATTTGAAAGAATTTTGTCATCCTTTTTTCTTCCCTTGTCAAGCCAAGCTGTTAAGAAAATAAGAGATAGCCTTTCACCTGATGAACCTCATTTTGCTTCCAGCTTGAACTAGTAATGCCATCCATGACCCCAAAACACACCGCAATAAATCAATAAATTAAAAAAAAAACTACTTTTAAAAAAACAGCGCAAGTGAGAAAAAAGTAAAGAAACAAAGTCAAGCACCGGATCAGCTAGCAACGGATTTATAAATAACATGAAAATGAACAGCAAACCCTTCACACATAATAAACTTTGGCACCAAGCCTGCACTGAAACTGTTTTCTTTGGTAATATGAACATAAAAAACAACCGAGAATAAAGAATGTTGTCACCTAGACAGCACTGAAACTGTTTCCCAAGGTGATATAGTTTACATTTTTAGAATTGCGGCAAGTGACCATGATTTGTGGTGCAGAATATTTAAGAATAAAATTAGCTGCATAACAATCTGAATCGCAAGATATGGGAAAAGTCTCATGCGAGGTACAGAAGTTTCACTAAAGGATATGACAACTGGACTGAATCACTGTGAAGAGTTTTGCAAAAACCAAATAAGAAAAGATAAAGAAAGCAAAACAATTTAACAAGTTTCTTTGAAACGTTTTAAAAGTATGAATATGTGACCATGACAGAGATGCAGGGTTTCAGTATAACGAGTATGGAACTATAAGAAATTCAGAGCAAGGCAACAACTGATAGCAATATTTGGAATGGTGAGGTATATTGGAACAAGAGGCAAGGTAACATGATATATTAAATAAATCGACTAAGATGCTTGAGATCAAGGACTTGCAGATTTATGTAGCCTGGGACTAACGGTATGACAAACTCAGTACATGGCTGCCTCATGAACCAGTAACACTACCCTGATGAGATTGATATAGGCTTCGTTTGGGACGGTTTTCTTTTTATTTCTTAAAACAGCTTCTTAGTACAAAAATTAAAATTTTTTTAAAAACTCTGCTTTAAGAAGCAGTAAAAAAGCCGTCCCAAATGAAGTCATAATCCACAAAAGGGTACAAATCAAAAGTACCCAGGTTTAATTCTATATGCGGCATGTTTTCTGCGCTCAAATACAATGCAGTCTCAGATATCTGTTGAAACTTTTCAACGTATAATTAAGCAGTAAAGCTGGTTGAGGCTTTTTAAGGTATAATTAAGCAGTAAAGGAACGCAAAAAACATATAAAAGCCAAATACGAGAGTCATCTGATAACAAGCACACACCTTAGGAAGCCTAGCAGCGAAAGTCCTCACATAATCATCACCAATGTTCTTCACTATACTATCCAGAAGATACAAAGCAGGTAATTTTTGATCTTGTGGGACCTGTGCAAAGCAATGCACGGCAACAGTTACAAATTGAATTAACAGAGTCGCGTGAACTCCATTAAAACAAAAGAAAGGATAATATCATAATTAGACACATATGGGACCATTTCGTTGCTTGAAGTGAGGAAATATGCTCTGAAAACAGTGAAATTTGTAGAATTTCGCTATTTTGTTTTATTGAATCAACAATAGACGTTCATACAAAATTCCACAAATCCCTTCAGAACCGTCTGTAATTCAATGATTTTATTTTCACATACAAAATGAGTGAAAATAAAATATATCTTTTTAAACACATTTACCATCTACATGCAACCAAATGAGCCCTAACCGAGAGAAGAAAGAATCTACGCTCAACAGAAGTTAAACAATCGCATCAAAGAGCAACTTTTGCCAAATTTTCAGGCGGCCTCGCCTAACACTAACGTTTGACCGTCGCGTAGAGAAGCCAAACTGCAGACGGTCCAAAACTTTAAACTAATTAGAGTAACTATTCACAGAAAATGACCAAATTTGGAACAAACCACATTTCGTGTATTTAATAAGAGTTTCTCAACGACGAATACCCAAAAAAAAAAAACTAAAACAGGTAAATTCCTTTGTTTTTATTTTTATTTTTATTTTTTCAGAGCGCTGTTTTGGTATCGAATCGGCCGGAGCATGTGACACATGATTGGGAGGCGCATTTCAGTTAGAGCAAGTAACCTCGCTGCCACTTAACTTCGCCGAGAACTGGTGATACCACATAAGAGGAAAAGTTTGCCAAAATAAAAGAAAAAATAAAATAGAGACGGAGTTTATTCATTTATCTTCTTTCAATCACAAACCAATACTTCAAAAAAAATTCCAAACAAATAAACTAAAAATCCTCATATATCCAGATCGCGAAACCAGCTGTCAGAAGCCCTAGAATGCCCGCTCAACAATCTCAGAGTATACTAGCCCCCACCTCGTCAATCCGGGCGCACACAGCCTCCGCGATCGACCTGGCATGTTCCCGCTGGTCTCCGGCAATGATGGTGAGTTCCGTGATGATTGGCTTCGAGTTAAAGGTGAGCTCGGTGAGAAGTTCCCCATACATCCGCACGATTTCGTTCCCGTCTGGTGGCGGCGGCGTCTCGTCCCCACTGCCCCTCAAGTCTTCTTCCCGTTCGCGAAGCATCGCACGGAAGCGATCCAAGATCGACGTCGTTGCGCGCTGAGCCGAATCCGTCGGCGGCCGGCCGAGTCGCTCCTGCGCAAACCCTAAGGGCCTAGGGTTTTCGCGGGCGGCGGAGGCAGAGGAAATGAATCTCTCGCCATCCATCACCGAATTAAAGCAATATAGATCTCTCTGAGAAAGCTCTTCCTATAGTTTATAGAGGACGGGGCCTGGATCGCGTGATGCCATGGAAAGAAGAGGAAGATAAGAGACGACACAGATTCTGCGGCCGAAACCGCTACGGTATTTTTCCGGATCGGATGTTCGTGGCTTCTTCCGCTCTCTCGTCGGATTAATTCATACCGAGCTGCATGGATGTATTTCAATTTTTAAAATAACAAATAACATTCTCCATTAACCAATCAGTCACTAATCTCATCTTTTCACTCAATTCATTTCTCAAATAAAAAATGTAATATTTATTTTTTTTTCTATTAAAGTGGCATTCATTTATATCATATTTATCAAGTATTTTATACTTTAATAGAGAAGTTGTACTTAATATATCACCAAAATTTTGTCTTGATCAAGCCTTGATGCAAATCTAAATTAGAAATTTTCAGAATTCCAACTCTAATTTCAACAAATTTATTATAAAATTGAATATCATAGCAAGAAGAATTCAACTATATCAAAATTGATCTAATCCGAGTCCAAATGAGATCAAATTAAGGGCTTAAAATATATTTGAAATCTTTAAAGTATTAATTAGATGATCAAATGACTTCCAAATTAGTCATGTTTGTTGTCGAATTATACGACTCAATGTGATGAATCCAACGAGCCTAAGATTGTTGAATTCCAACACCATTAAGACATATAAATGTTTAAAAAATGTTTCATGATCGAGGGAAGTTATATCAGCCGTCTAATAGAACACTCAAAATTTATCATAAATCTTCTTCATATTTACTGAGCATGCTAATCCGTGCCACGAGGTCGCCGCTGCTAAACCTCTACTTTATCATTGTCATTGGACCTCCATCTAGCAGTCACTATCTAGCCTTCCTCCAATCAATGTCGCTAAATGACTATTATTCCTCTAATCACATTTATCGCATAACAATAGTCCGTCCGACCACCGTCGTCAAACTACAGTCCTTCCTACCTCAATCGTCAGTCGTCTACGATCTCTCCGACCACCAACACCCACCGACTACATCCCCTTTGATCTCATTCCCCCCCCCCCCCCCCCCCCCCCCCCCCCCCCCCCCAATTATGATCCCTCCAACCTCTATTGCCCGTCGACTATGGTACCATTGACCTCTACAACATGCTCCGACCTCTATCGCCCTTTGACCTCCATCATTTACCAGCATTCGTCGCCCATCAACTATGATCTCTTAACCTCTATAACACAACTACTATCCTTCCGACTTTCGTCACCTGCCGACTATGGTGCCTCCAACCTTCGCCACCTGAATATAGTCCTTCCAACCAAATGAACACGCAAACACTCTCTTGAGAACAACTCTCATGACATTGGGCTATTCTAGCCCCAATCATGTAAAGTGGTTTATCTGATGTATACGTGTTACATTAAGTCAATGCCTTCCCTGAGAAAGGACATCATTTGTAATTAACAATAAATACTAGTGGATTCATTCAAACTGAATAAGACCCTGTGGTTTTTATCCTTTTCCATAAGTTTTAAATAAAAAATCTTGGTTTCTCCTATTACTGTTGCACTCCTCTCTTATATTTTTGTGTGTTGGATCTTTGTATAAATATAGTATATTAAATTATATATCTACCTATCACTGCAAATGCTCCAGGACGAAATAATACTTTTTTTGCATAACTTGTTGCAAATCTGGATCCAAGTATTGTGATTTTGATAATAATAAACATTATTGTTTTCTTTACCACAGCTATTATTATACATCTATATTGTTTTCCATACTTACTAACCTTTCAGGTCCACAATATCACTTGCAATACAAATCAGCTCAAGATTGGGTTGAGACTGTATGTAATTTCAATTTTAATGTATCTTTTACGTTTCTTGAGTCAAGTCATCTATCTGGTGGATCCCAAGTTAAGTAACCTTACAAACACACACTTAGGGGGACAAATTTGATGAGTTAGAAAACTTTCTATTTTTAACCTAATTGTATAGGACGATTTCAAATCGTACTTGACGATCAATTAAAAAATAGAAATTCTAATTAGAGTATCTAAATTTTAAGAGTGATTAAACTAATCGTACTGGACAATCCATATCGTCTAGGACGATTAGTTTAGATCATGAAAATAGCCGCCAATCATAATTTAAGAAATATTTTAAATTTCAAAATTTATTCTAATCATATAGGATGATGTAGATCGTCCTAAACAATTTTGGACAATAATTCCTAAATTAATCTTATGATTAGGAGAATAATTATGGTAAAACATATTTCGTTATGATCATACAGGACGATCGGTGATCATCCTGGATGACAGAGAACATCTTTGGTATGATAAGGGACCACCACCAATCAAACTAGCTGAATGCCATAATTTTTAACTAATCATTCAGGATGATATAATCTTATCATACTAGACAACAGAGAAGTGCATGGGATGATAAGGCATCATCGGGCTTCATACTAGATGAAGTTTAAGAGTTTTATAATAATCGTTCAGGAAGATATTCAAATCGTTTGGAATGATCAACCTATTTCTCTTGAACTAATCGTACATGGCAATGCTAGTCATCTTGGCTGAAAGGGATATTTTGTACTAATCGTACATGATGTTCTATCGATGTTCTGGACGATCAGTTACACATAATTGAAAATTAGGGCTTCTTTTGAAGGCTCTCTTTTTAAGTTCTATAATTGTCTCTTGAGACAATATTTTACTATGGAGTTGATCCAAGAGGAAGCTTATAGAAGGAAGAGGGAGAGCTTGAGAGATAGAGAGATCCTGGTGAAGGGGAGTTGTGAGGGAATCACAAAGGTAGCTCCAAGCATGATGTTCATTGTCATCTTCAAGTTGCTCCTCTGGTTCCTTGGTAGCTCTAGGGAAATCTTCTTCAGCATTAGATCTAGATTATCTGCCTACTCCATGAGGGAATAAAAGGATTTCCGGGTTCTCAACCTTCACCAGAAGGGTGAAAAAGGATTTACAGGATCTCTACCTACTCTAGGAGAGAGTAAAAAGATTTCAGGTTCTCAGCTTCACTATGTCAGTGAAAATATTTTGTAAGGACTTTTGTGCCTTACTGTGGGAACAAAAGGAGAATCACTTTAGTTTAATGCAATACTTGGAGATGGAGTCTCCAAGGAGTGGACGTAGGTCAGATTTGATCGAACCACTATAAAATTTGATGTGTTCTTTCTTATTACTTTTATCGCATTTTATTTATGCACTTTTTATGTGATTTGCACTGTGATTGAAATATTTGGTTGTATTGTTATCATGAAAATTATTTTTTCTTCGGCATGAAGGGCTATTGTTTTGTTTTAACATATTTAAAAAGATCATAATATTTTTTTTTATTAAGAAATTTTTAAAACCACTAATTCACCCCCCTCTTGGTTAGCATCGGAGTAGTTCTTTAGGGTTTCATAACCCTCACGAACTTTCATAAATTTGATCATCATTAATGTTAAAATAGCATCTTATTTATCTATTCAATATATAGATATATATATATAATCTGAATGAGACATTTCAAATGGTACTCAATTGTTAATCCATAAGACAAGTAAAAAAGTTAGTTTTACATTGGTTTATATAAAGATTCAACATATAGATGAAAAAGAATATAAAAAACTCAAGAAATTTTATATAGAAAATCTGAAAGTAGAAAAAACACACAAGGTATTGCCCTTTTAAAATATAATTACTTTCATGACCTTAGAATTGAAAGATATTAGACTTCTTAGATTCCTATCATCATGAGACACTTTTTGATTGCATGCATATGAGATTAGGAGATTGTTTGATCATTCAACTAATATTACAAAATTATCATATATAATTCAACTTGTATATTAACACTTCGGGAGTTCGGGGTTTCCTCATTGAAATATTCAGTCAGACTATAGTTTATCTAAAGTCAGAGTATGACTTATTCTAAATTTAATGTTAATTTTTTTTACTATCCCACCCCACACGCACAAATTTTTGAATGTTGAAATATATACCTAACGAGCAAGCATAAAAATGATCAAGACTATCATATTATATGAATAGTAATGCATGATCACCCAAACTCAAAATTATTAGAAAATAGCAGACTTGTCTAGATTTCTTTTATGGCCCGAACCTCCCTCATATACTTGCAAAATCTTCCTGATCTCTATACATTCAGCTGCATTAACTAAAGAAAAAACAAGGCTATCATCTGCAAAAAAGAAATGAGAAAGATTGGGACCCTGCCTGCTAGCCCTCACACCATGGAGACACTGCCTGGCTTCAAAAAGGATTGATTATTCACTTCCTAGCAAAGAAAAAGGCGATAGTTTTGATTGAAAAGAAAAAGGCAATAGTTTTTCTTTTTACAAAAGAAAAAGGGAAAAATTATGATCGAATTGTATGATATATCATTGTATTGTATAAGCAGCTTTAATTTTAAATTTATATCTAAATAATTTTATTAAGATTAGGAGATTTGATAATTAATGAAGATTAATTTTAATATTATGTTATACAATATGCATCCTGCTATTACAATATCCATTGCACTTTATGAGATATCTTATTTTGATACTAAATAGGATGGGATTAATGAGTGTTAATTAAAATAATTCAAAAACTAAAATATTTATATTGTATGATATAAATTATAGTATATGATCAATGTAAATTAATATAATACAATACAAAAAATAGTACTGCAATGGAAGGATATTCTATTATCTGACCATCGTTGTTCAATGACATTCCTTTTAATCTATGGTAAGTTAGAATGACTAATTTTGTTTAATATGCAGAATATCACATGTGGGATTTAGGCTTCATTTGGGATGGCTTTCTTACTACTTCTTAAAGCAGGTTTCTAGTAAGAAAGTCATTTGAAACTTTGGTACTGCTTGATAATGCAATTCCAAACAAATTTAAAAAAAAAAAAATTGTTGATATTTCTTAATTAATGGATAAGAAAAGAATGAGAGTTGGCCTGGTTGAATTTCAAATACTTAAATTATTATTATTTATGTTCCTTAAAATATGACTATTATATATGCAATTTTGTGTATAAGACTCATAAATTTTTTTGAAATAGATTATGTGTTACTTATAAATGAATTAACGAAGCCAAGCAATCATGTATACATTTTATCATGCATAACTATGAACGATTTTCTAGGCGACCT